AGCATGTTCCTAGGTTGTTTCCTGTTTTCTTTTTCTTCTGATGTCCATCCTCTTTGCCTTTCAGGGTGGGAATTGAACATTTTAGTTAGGGTCCTCTCTTTTGCTTAGTTTGTTTAGATGTACAGATTTTAGTGCGTTTGTTCTATGTTGTATGTTTATATGAGTGAGTATATACCGTGTGTGTCTTTTTGCTTCTGGGACAATTCACTCAGGATGATTCTTTCCAGGTCCCACCATTTACCTGCAAATTTCATGATTTCCTTATTTTTCATTGCTGAGTAATACTCCATTGTATAGATGTACCACAGTTTCTGCATCCATTCTTCAGTTGAGGGGCATCTGGGCTGTTTCCAGCTTCTGGCTATTACAAATAAAGCTGCTACAAACATGGTTGAGCAAATGTCCTTTTTGTGTACTTGAGCCTCTTTTGGATGTATGCCTAGGAGTTAGGTATGTCTGGATTTTGAGGAAGCGCTATTCCTAGTTGTCTGAGAAAGTGTCAGATTGATTTCCAGAGTGGTTGTCCAAGTTTACATTCCCACCAGCAGTGGAGAAGGGCTCCCCTTTCTCCACAACCTCTCCAGCATGTGTTGTCACTTGAGTTTTTCATCTTGTCCATTCTGATGGGTGTAAGGTGATATGTCAAGGTCGTTTTGATTTGCATTTCCCTAATGGCTAATGAGGTTGAGTATTTCTTTAAGTGTTTCTCTGCCATTCGATATTCCTCTTCAGAGAATTCTCTGTTTAGCTCTGTTCCCCATTTTTTAAGTGGATTACTAGTTTGCTGCATTTCAGCTTCCTTAGTTCTTTATATATACTGGACATGAGTCCTTTGTCAGATAAAGGGTTGGTGAAGATTCTTTCCCAATCTGTAGGCAGTCGCTTTGTTTTGATGTTGGTGTCCTTTGATTTACAGAAGCTTTTCAATTTTATGAGGTCCCATTTATTGATTGTTGCTCTTAGAGCCTGTGCTGTTGGTGTTCTGTTCAGGAAGTTTTCTCCCGTACCAATGAGTTCTAGGGTATTCCCCACTTTTTTTTCTAGCCGATTTAATGTGTCTGGTTTTATGTTGAGGTCTTTGATCCACTTGGACTTCAGTTTTGTCCAGGATGGTAAATATGGATCTATTTTCATTTTTCTACATGTAGACATCCAGTTGGACCAGCACCATTTGTTGAAGATGCTATCTTTTTTCCATTGAATGATTTTGGCATCTTTGTCAAAAATCAGGTGTCCGTAAGTGTGTGGGCTTATTTCTGGGTCTTCTGTTCAGTTCCATTGATCCACCATTCTGTTTCTATGCCAGTACCATGCAGTTTTTATAACTGTTGCTCTATAGTACAGCTTGAGATCAGGGATGGAGATACCTCCAGAAGATCTTTTATTGTAGAGGATTGTTTTAGCAATTCTGGGTTTCTTGTTATTCCATATGAAGTTGAGAATTTTTCTTTCCAGGTCTGTAAAGAATTGTGTTGGCAATTTGATGAGAATTGCATTAAATCTGTAGATTGCTTTTGGTAAGATGGCCATTTTTACTATGTTAACATGAGCATGGGAGATCTTTCTATCTTCTCATATCTTCTTCTAATTCTTTCTTCAGAGACTTGAAATTTTTTCATACAAGTCTTTGACTTGCTTGGTTAGGGTTACACCAAGGTACTTTATGTCATTTGTGGCTATTGTGAAAGGTGTGTGTTTCTCTAATTTCTTTCTCAGCCCTTTTGTCTTTTGTATACAGGAGTGCTACTGATTTTTTTTGAGTTAATTTTGTATCCGGCCACTTTGATGAAGGTGTTTATCAGCTGTAGGAGTTCCCTGGTAGAGTTTTTGGGGTCACTCATGGATACTATCATATCATCTGCAAATAGTGATAATTTGACTTCTTCCTTTCCCATCTGTATCCCCTTGATCTCCTTCAACTGTCTTGTTGCTCTAGCAAGGACTTCCAGCACTATGTTGAAGAGATATGGAGAGAGTGGGCAGCCTTGTCTTGTCCCTGATTTCAGTGGGATTGCTTTAAGTTTCTCTCCGTTCAGTTTGATGTTGGCTATAGGCTTGCTATATATTGCCTTTACTATGTTTAGATATGTGCCTTGTATCCCTGATCTCTCCAATACTTTAAACATGAATGGATGTTCATACCAGTTATTTTTATCCCTACTCCTTTGAAAGCCCCTTTCTATGAACATTTTAATTTCCTAACTTTTGTGGATTACTCCCACTGAGAAAATAAAAATGTATATCCAAGGACTCTAGGCTAATGTTCAAAAATGAGAGAAAAAATGTGATATTTCTTCTTTCTGGGTTATCCATCCATTTACTTGTATCTTTCATGATATCTGGTTAATATTCCATTATGTAAATATAACATATTTTTTATTGCCCATTCATCTGTTCATAGACATCTATCTTGTTTTCATTCCAGACTATTGTGAATAGTATTGCACTGGACATATTTGAAGAAGTATCTTTGTAGCAGGATATAGGATCTTCAGAGTATATATCCAAGAGTAGTGTAATGTATCATTATCAGAACATCCACACTGATTTCCACAATGCCAGTGTCAGTTCGCACTCCTATCACCAGTGAATAAGTGCTCCTCATGTCCCTCATCAAACTCAACATCTGCCATCATTAGTTTTTTTGTATCTTATTCATTCTGACTGGGATAAAATTAAATGTCAGCTTTAAGTTGCCTTTGTGTGGTGATTTAGGATGAGAGACCCACCCTCCTAATGATTCACATGTTCACTTGAGATTGAAAAACCTATAATTCAAGTATGACTTATGACACACCATCAAGAGATCACTATAGATACATGAATGTCCTGCCTACCTAATGAGTCAGAGTAACATTTTAACAATATCTAATAAATGTGCTCATTAAAGTTTTCAGGCTTCAGTGTAGGGAACTAGACTACACTGTCAATTCAAGCTGGGTAATTAACACATTAGGGATTTTATCTCTTCAGTAGAATTATGTACTATATTGTCATGTGTCCCTACTAAATTTTTGGCCAACACAATGCATAGTGTAAAGTATGTAAGAGTAAAGATCTATGTGATAAAAACACTAGTAAACTAAGGAGTCCTTCATTGTATCTAATGTGATTTCAGTGAAGTAGCCCCCAGCACTTGCAGCTTTCATGCCCTGAACCGAGCAAAACTTCTATGATATTAGCACACACATATTCTCTCATTTTCCAGTTTTGTTTGTTTGTTTGTTTGTTTGTTTGTTTGTTTTGTTTTTGGTCGGTGGTCGGTTTTTCTTTATGTTTTTGTTTGGTTTGGTTTGGTTGGATTGGGTTGGGTTTTGGTTCTGTTTCAAGATAAGGTTCTTTGTGTAGCCTCAAACTCACAGAGATCCATCTGCCTCTGCCTTTTAAGTATTGCGATTGAAGGTGTGTACCACCATGCCCAGCTTATTTCTTTATCTTTAAAATGGGAGTATGCTTTTTTGTTGTTCATTATACAACCAAGTAAAGAGCAAATTACTAGGCAGTGGAGGTATTACTCAGGGTTTTTCCAGAGAAACATATAGTAGGCTTTGTGTGTGTGTGTGTGTGTGTGCACCTGCATACGCGCATGCATGTGAGTGGCTATATATATGTATATATGTTTGCATAAAGTTTATTATAAGAAATTAGCTTGCATGATTATGTAGTCAGAAAAGCCCCACAATGTTCAAGTTAGAGTTTACAGATGGCCAGTGGCTTCTAATCTAGGTCTGAAGACATAAGGATAACAAATAAAAATTGCAGAGTACTCTAATTCATGTTGTCAGATCAATTAAATTCACTTTTCCGGTGCATTTCTGTCTCACTCAGTCCTGTAACATATTGCATGATGTCAGACCCAAATAGCATAGCTATCTGCTTTGCTGTTTTATTAACTCAGCTACAAATTATGCCCATAAACATCCTTGAAGGCACCCAAAAGTCATGTTTAACTGCATATCTGGGTACCCTAAGGCTCAATAAAGATGATGTCCAAAATTAACCATCTAAAGGTTGTAACTGACTGACTGAAAGGTGTTTTTAAAGGTTCCCTTAAGGGCATACAAAGGGGAGAAAAAGGTCTCCTGTAGGTAAATGTTAAAGTTGGCATGAATAGATTATGTTATTTTGGTTAAAAAAAACAAAGACCTCAGACCTGACCCTGGTAGACAGGAAGATTTAATTTAAGAAAGAGCATGGAATGTGAAAATCATTTGATCAGCATGGATGAACCGAAAGGACATTGACAAGGATATGGGAGCCAGTATCTACAAATTGTTGCCTCTGGATTTTTTTTTTTTTTACTATAATGCTCTTTTAAATGTATTGTGATAAACCATATCAATGTAAAGGTTTCCCATGTAAATAATATCTCCTGAATTTTCTCACAAAGTGGACACATAGATACATGCTTTATGCTTTTCTACAAGATAACACAGGCAGAGTTTCATAGTAGTTGATCCTACCATAATCTACCCCACTTTTCAAAATGCTTCCCCAGCCCACATTACCAACTGCACATGGTACAAGTACCTGAGCTTGTCCTGCAGAGAAGTGGAGACCAAATAATGTGACACAGAGCTCAATTGAGTAGTAACTATGATGCTGTCTGTTCTTGAGGAACATTGATTATATCTTTTCATATTAATTGACTCTAGTTCCTGATTACAAATTTCAGGAAGAACTCAGAATCTGGATGGTAAGTTGTAGTTTACCTTGTGTAAGAGTGATGATTGCTAGGCATTGTGTTTCTTGGTTATTCTCAGTTTTCTTGGAAAGGCTGAACCCATTTACTTTTAAAAGCTCACGTTTACTTTGGGTTTCTAAATTGTGAAGCCTCTATACTCCTTTCTGAGTGTGCTCATCTAAGGGAAGCTTGGCCTGTCATGCTGCTTCCTAAAGCTAGGGGTGAATCTAGTGGTTTAAGTAGACAAAGTATAAACATTCTTACTTCCGGGCTTCAGCAAAAACCTAGGATGATTATTTCTCCTTTTGTTTTGTAGGTACCTTTTATATTTGCAAATTAAAAGAGACATTTTTCATGGTCGACTGCTGTGTTCCTTTTCTGATGCTGCCTATCTGGGTGCTTGTATCGTTCAAGGTGAGTCTAGTCCCAGAACACTTTTCTCACTACAGCAATGGACTATGGAACCTCATTCTATGGCTTTCTTCTCTGCTTTCCTATAACCATCTTTGTCTATGGGGAAATCTATATATGATTATGTAGTTTTCAAAAGATTCCCCTATTCAGTTTCTCTCCCAAGTCATTGGTCCTGACAGAAGGCTGAGCTCCAGTATTCACTTTGCTTATGCTCACATTTGAAGACTTTTAAAACCCCAAAAACTATACTATAGGGTCTTTTTTTCCCAAAGAGATAGATCATCATTATACAAGACTTTCTATTTTGATGTATCATATGTTCTGAGTTTCAACTGTCAAATGTGAGGCCTAATAAACATATCATGGGTGAAACCATATCAAGATAGTACATTTTAAACAATTATGGTCATTCTAGATCATATTTCATGCATTCATACATGCATGTATTTTCTATAAATTTCTCAGCTTTTTAGTTATACAAAATGAAGAGACCACTGAATTCACAAATCTGTTCACTGAATCTTTATTCCCATTTCCTAGTCATTTTGTCAAACATAAATTTCTTAAGTTCTTTAAGCTTCAGTTCTTTTCTATATAAGTTGAGGTAGTGATATAGAATTTCAAGACACCACTGTGAATTAAGCCAAAGAGTAATGGACCATCAGAGGTGGCTGTTGTTCTTTTTAGGGATGAGCATATTCCCCAGAGTGTGGAGAAGACCGAATATACTCACCAGACTTGGAGTCTGGATGCTTCTATCCTTTTGTTTTAATGATGGTTTAAAAAGAAAAATTGTCTTTGAGCTGATATGATTTCAAAGATTGATTTCTCATTTTGTAATTAGTTCATTTGTTTTTTGACATAATAGTATCATTACACCATTTTCACCTTCCCTTTCCTCCTTCCAAAACCTCCCATATACCTCACCTTGACCTTTCTCAAATTCATGGATTCTTTTTAAGTAATTTTTCTTACAAACAAACATACATACATTACACGCACCTTTTTTTCTAAATAAAAGAATTGAACATGTTCGATTTGTATAATGTTCAACTTGTGCATATTTTCAGGAGTATGCATTTGGTATTAGATGACCAGTTTGTATGTTTTCCACGGCATGAGTATTTCTTCCATTCTCAGCATTTCTTTGTTGCCTGGAGTACTTTTTTGTAGGGTTTAGACCCATTTCTCCTGTCTATGCTTATTGTTTGTATCCTTATTCAGCAGAGTTTAGGCAGTCATTTTGGTGAGAACTCATTGAAGTAGCTTCTGACAATCTAAGACACAATCCTCTGTTCCTCTGATCCTCTGAACCTTACTAGTTTTCTACCACCTCTTCCCCAATATTACCTGAGACTTAGGTGCAGGGGTTTATAGATATATCTATTAAGACTGGGTTATATAATTCTGCATTTTGATTGGTTTTGTTTTCCTGAATGCTCTCTGTCTGTTGCAAAGATAAGTTTCCATGATGAGGGGTGAGTATTGCAGGGCATTTGGGTTTTCACTTGGGGTTTAATAAAAAAGACACAGAGAGCATCTATACTATATTGCTTAAGGCTATTGGCCTTTTTCTGGGCAGGCTCTCAGCTAACCTCTAATTTAACTCAACTTCCCTGCCACTGTGTCTTTCTACATGGTTCTCGCGGTCTCTTCTCCTCTTGCCATTCCTTCTTTTGCCATTCCTCTTCTGCCCCAGTTAAGCTCTGCCCCAGTTAAGCTGCCAGCTCTAATTCTCCAAAAAGCCACATTCTAGTCTGAACCAATCATAAGCAGAACAGCCCAATCCATGTCTTTGAGCTGCACTTTGGCATTTGAGCACTGTGTGATCCTCGCCAGGGCAGCCTGCTTTTTAACAGGATAATCTCAGAGAATCATCTTTAGGCCAGGTCAAGGAGAATAAGCATTTACATATAGAAACCTGATGATGATCCATTGAGAGGATGATACCAGCTATTCTGCCAGCACTTAACTCTGTCAGGCACAACAAATTAACATTTGAAAATACAGGGACACATTTTTATACACTGTGGGGGAAGGTCATCCCAGACGGTGAGTAATACACTTACTGTGGTTATCAAGACAAATGTTTAGCATGTACTAAGAGATTATGCTGGCTCAGTAAATTAGCAGTTACAGGTTCCAAGATTCATGGCTTTACTAGCCCTGGGTAGTTGGTTAGCAAGCATCAGTTTTCTCTTATTGAGCAAGTCTTAAGTACAATTAGAGAAATGTTGGTTATGACCAGGGTGTGTGTAACACTCACTATTGCAACTTTAGGGTTAGTGCCCCATGTTGGTTATTGTTGTGGTTAATAGGCATCATATCTGGATAGGTCCATTGATTGCATTCCTTTTTTGGAAGTTTATATGATACTTTATGATTCCGTTAAAGCTAGTCCTCAAGGAGGAAGCTTTCAAGTCATTTCTAGATCAGGGGCCTCTGGGCCCCGTTTCTTAAATCCATAGTATCTTCAGCAATAGGGGTTTACTTTTCACCTATGAGGGGTAACCAAAAGCACTAACAATAGCCTGTAACATTTTAGGAGTTTCTTGAGCAGCTCTAACAAATAACTTTAAAAGGGACTTCTCATGCCTTGTGCTGAGGCTTTTGTAAGACAATCTTTGGCTCTCAGATGGAGCTTCATCAGTCCACATGTATATTTGAACTATACATGTATACTTAAGTGTATTACAGCTTTTTTAAGGTAAATGTTTACTGTTTTAAGTCCTTCTTATTCGTTCAGACATCCTTACAATTATTTTTACCCTTTTCTCGCCTGTATTTTTATAACCTTTTCCCATCCTTAATTAGAGTCCCTTGCTTTTCATTTTTTCTATTTCCCCATCAGATCATTTAACTTTCCAACTTTATTGTACTCCTATTCTTGTACCTTTGTAATGGTCCATTTTACTTTGTTTCTGCACTTACTCCAAGATACATACTCATCTGAAAAATTATAAGATGTTTGCCTTTCTGAAAGTGAGTTACCTCACTCAATATGATCATTTTAGAGCCATCCATTTATCTTCAAAGATCATTTTATTTTTATTTACAGCTGAATAGCATTCCATATTGTATATGTATCACATTTTCATTATTCTATGATCAGCTGAAAAACATTTAGGTTTTTTCAAGTCTGTAGTTATTCTGAATAAAGCATTAGTGACCATGTATGATAAAGAGTCTAGGGAATAGGATATTAAGTAATTTGGACATGTGATAATAAGAGATATTGATTTGGGTTTAGGTTTGTAAGTATTCTCTACACTGATTTCTAGATTGGTCCAACCAGTTTACAGTCCCATCGATAGTGAATGAGGGTTCTCTTTTTCATACATTCTATTCAGCATTTATTGTTGGTTGTTGTTCTTGGCCATTCTAACAGAGATAAGATAAAATCTCCAAGCTGTTTTGATTTTGCCTTTTTGCACTTACCAGGAATGATAAACATTTTTTAGCTGGTTTTATTCTTCCTCTTCCTCATACTTCTATTTTTCCTCCTCTTCTTCTTGAGAACTCTCTGTTTATATCCCAGTCCAATTTTTTTGGATGGGTTAGAATTTTGTTGACAGTAGTGATAGTTTTATTTTTTTTAATCTTTTGGGTTTTTTTTAGTTTTTATATATTCTAGATATTAATCCTCCATCAGATTGTAGCTAGGAAGGATTCTGTCCCATTCTATCCATTTCTCCTTAACTGATTGTTTCCTTCTTTAGCTATGAGGAAGCCTTTTAGTTTGATGAAGTCTTACTTGTCAGTTGATGGTCTTAATTCCTGGGGAAATGAAATTTTATTCATGAAGTTCTGTCCTACAAAGAGATCTGGGCATGTCAATTTCATTTGTTAAGTGTGTGTCTGATATGAACAGAGCAGGTTGGGGCAGAAGAAGAGGTGAGTAGGCTGGTCCTTGAAATAGAAACTGGCTTAGGTGGAATGATGTCATGAGGACAAAGGAGACTGGGCTGATGGACAGGCTATGCATCTTTGCATATCTGGAATATGAGTGTAGATGTGGCTAGGTGGAGAGGTTGAATGTGGCATGGGAGAAGCCTAAGGGTTAGAGAACACACAAGGAAGGTCCTAGTAGAAGGCTAAATGTTATTTGTGGTATAGCCAAGAGTGGTTAGACTGGACTAGGACACTGGATGTGTAGCAGCATCACCTAGCTAAATCCTAGAGAAGGATGTCAGGGTCTGGTTAGGTAGAAAGTTTGGTGGGACATGGAAAGAGCCTGTGGATTGGGAGGCAGGCAGAGCAAGTGCTGGTAGAAGCCTAGAGGCTGGTTGTGATACAATCAAGGATGTTAAACGGCACTTAGGAATATCAAGCAGATTTTCCAGGCTAGATGCTGGAGAAGGTACACTTCTATTGTTTAAATTATTTTTTAAGGAAAACGACGAGAGAGCCTGAGCCAAGGATGGGCCCAGTACCTAAGTGAAGATATCATCGGTTCTCTTTTCCTAGACCTATTGGAAGATAGCTAGATACATGGATTTCTCAATGGATCCTGCTATCCTAGGAAGTTTTAGTATATATTTCACTTCCTTTTAATTTATTTATTATTATTAGTGCATATATGTATCTACAGATCTATTTGGGTCGATGTGTACATATTATGGCATGCATTTGGCAGTTAAAGGACAAATTACAGGAGACAGAACTTGTTATCTCCTTCTATGATATATGGCTTGGAGATATACCTCATGTCAGTTGGCAGCCTTAACTTTTGAGCCATCTCACTAAAACTCATCACAAACTCTAATGACATATTTATTAGGAGAAAAGATGGAAGAGAAAGAGGAGGAGAGAATCACTATGTCAGTTTCACACTGTATCTACAGAGAATAGCAAAAGAGTATATAGCAAATTATAAAATGGTCACAACCTATCACTTTGTTGGCCTTCATTCTGTAAAAGAGAAACCTATCCTCCTGGATTTTTCCTTATGTCTTTATCTTAACAAGCTTCATGTTTGTAGTATTTACCAGTACAAGCCT